CGATTGCCTCATTAAAAAAAAAACACACATAAGCTTGGTTTTCTTGGATTGTTCTTTTTTTTTCCCTCACTCTCTCTTATTTGATTTTTGAAGTCTTTTTTGAGCTCTTCTAAGAATTCTTTTTGAGCAGGTGACCATTTGGTGCTACTCTTTGGGGTAGGAGATGCTCCTTTGAAGACAAACTCCAGTACTCTCTATCCTCATAGTAACTGTCTATGGTCGGGTTCTTTCTCCTTTGCCTGCTCATTTTTGTTTTTGTCTTGTTTTTTGCACCTTGTTATTATAATCACCTCTAATCCTGGGATGTAGAGGATGGTGCCTCTGGCCTCCAGTCCTTCTCACTGTTATTTTTTGAGCTTTGTCCGGGGTCCAACCTCTGCACTCCTTTCTCCCTCCAATCCACAGCTAGGGCCCCCCAACACACTATGCTGGAAATGCTCTTAATCCCTGAGGACCCTCCAGCGACTGTTCCCTTCAGTTCTTCCCTCTGGCCTGGAACCCAAACCAAGAACTCAGCTCTCCTATAAGTGCCCACAGCCAGGAGCATCTCTGCCCTGTTGCTACTGCACTCTCTGGTCATGTGCTAGTTCATTCTCACTAGGGACCCCTACTCAGATGTCTGACCCCTCCCCAACACAAGCACACTGTCTGTGAGGTGACAGTTCCTGTGGCTGAGTCAGAGGCTACCTCCCAACCCAGCTGCCCCCAGGACTTGTTGTTTCAGCTGAGATAGCCTGGAGGGGTTTGCACCTCACTTGGGTGGAACCTCCATCCTGGGGTCTTTCTTCTTTTTTTTTTTTTCTGGGGTCTTTCTTCTGATCTTCTCCTGTTGTCCCAGGAGGACCACTGTTCTGCCCCAACTCCTGTTTATTTTTGCCACTGAAGGATTTGTCACCCTGAGGCACTGTTTTGTCTTGTTTGTGGAGGAAATCTGGAGAGCTTGGCATTTTCTGACTTACTCTGCCATCTTCCAGAATCCTCTTCCAATCCCTGTTCTCACTGAGCTTACATTCAAATGAGGGAGATGAGTTGTTGTTGTTCAGCCCTGTCAGAGTCTTCACGACCCAGTGGACCACAGCATGCCAATGCTGTCCATGAGGTGGTTTGCCATTTTCTTCTCCAGTGAATTAGGGCAAACTCTGTTTGTGAAGTGACTTGCCCAGGATCACACAGCTACTAAGTGTGTGAGGCCACATTTGCACTCAGATCTTTCTGACTCCAGGCCCAGCACTCTATCCATTGTGCCATCCTATCTTCCAGACAAGTCCGTAGATTAAAAACATATGGTATAAATAAAAAGCGAATAAATACACATTGTACATTGAGTACCTTTCTGCTCCTTTTTGAGGATCTTGATCCTAGTAGATATGAGCCAATCCTAAGCTTTAAGTGATTTTTCGCCGTGGTTCTGGGCTAGGGTCATAAAGAGCCAGAGAGTGCAAGAAAAAGAATCTGACCTATTTCTTTAGGGGTTAGGCTCTCCCAAGACTGAATATAGCCTTCACATAATACCAGAGCTGGTGCCCTTTCATGGGAGAGGGTAGCCTCAGCCTCCCTAGGTCCAGCACCAGTCTGTTCTTGTATTTGTGTGACATTCTTCCACTCTCCAACATTCTGACATTCTTCCTTGCCTCTTCAGATCCTTTTTCTTCTTGGTTTTCACCAAGCTCTTCTCCCTTACTTTTAAGGAACACTTCATTGTTTCTGATAACCTGGAGAGCAGAGTCATTCCTCAAGCCCATTTACCTCTTCTTTCAGGAAGAAGGCTAGCATGTACTTTGAACAGTGGCATAAATAGGAAGGGATGAGAGCATCCCGAGGAGGGGTTAGTCAACATTATCAAAGAAGATGAGTACTAAAAAAAGGCCATTGGATTTATCAAATGTACAAAAAAAAAAGTGTTATAGAATCTCTGATAAGCATTCAAAATCTAGAGGGAATTAACTGAATCTATCATCTATAAGAGCTATTCTCTAATAGACAAGTAGTCAAAAGGATATAAACAGTTTTTAAAAGAAATATCAACTATCAATAATCACAGAAGAAAGTCTTCAAAATTACTAATAATTAGAGAAATGCAAATTTAAACAATTCTGAGGTATCATATCATCCATAAAATTGACAAGGATAGGAAAAAATGGAAAAAGTCAATGTCTGAGGGATGTGAGAAGACATGCATACTAATTCAACTGATACATTCAGTCTAGAAAATCATTTGGAAGTACATGAGAAATATTACTAAATTGTTCACCCCACGTTATTCAGCAATACCATTACTGAATTTATACCCCCAAGGAGGTCAATGAGAGAAAGTCCTTTATGTGCCAAAAATGTTTCTACCAGCCCTCTTTGTAATTTAGAGGGTAGAGGGGTGGGAGGAGAGGAAAAGAGGAATCGTATGTCCAAAAGATGGGAGAACAGTTGAACAAACTGTGGTATATTAATGTAATGAAATGTTACTGTACCATAAGGAATGATGAATATAGAGTTCAAAGAAACATGGGAAGACTTGAATAAACTGATATAAGTGGAGGAAATAGAATCAAAAGAACAATATTACCCAACTAGAACAATTAAAATTAGAACAAAGCTAAGAGCGAGACAGAGGCAAAAATTCAAACCCAGGTCTTCCTGACCTAAAACCCAATAGTCTCACTAATGTGCCATGTCACCACATAAGGCAATGAAATTCAGGTAAAATGTGCAATCTTGGTTCCAGATGAATAAAGCTGAAACTCATATCCTTTCTGTTAGCAAACTGCAAACTACAAAAGTCACAATTAACATCCTGCTAGTGCAATCACCGTATGTATTAAATTATTTTGCTTAACTATTTTATATAGAAAGGTGCTACTGGGGCAGGAAAAGTCGTTTGTTGAAAAGTGCCTATTGTGTCAAAACAAAATGTACCCTCTGGAAAAAATGTTATCACCTAAAATGTCATGCTACCCTGTGATCTGCTCCTGAGGCAAAACCCCCCTGAGAACTCCAAGGGGCTGATCTAGTAATTTGTGTGTGTGAATTCCTGTGGCTGTGTACTCTCTAGTTGTATTTCTGCCTTTCCATGTGTCTTTATGGGTGTTACCTCAGGGCATTTATCTCTCCAAGTAAATTCAGGAATTTGTGTATTTATCACCTGGATATGTGTGCATTTATATGTTGTCTGAGTGGTGTCTTTGTATCCTAGTGGAAAAACAAGGGGTGTGTACACATTTGTTTTTCATGTCTGTATTAGAGAATATATAAAATGTTTTGGGGGACTGGGCCAACAGTCCCACCCAAGTCTGCAAGTCTGTGTGTGCATGTGTGTGTACATATATATATATATATATATATATATATATATATACACACATACATACATACATATACATATACGTGTGTGTAGATACGCTGGGAGACAGGAGGAAAGGGGGGGAGGTGCCATTATGGCTGTGCATCTAGCCTCAGGTGTTTCTCTTTTGCTTTCTTATTGGGATGGTGTGTTTGGTGTGTATTTATCCCACCTTTCCCTTGCCTCTCTTTATCACCTCTTGCCTTTATTGTTGTCAGTCTAAGGGCCCTCAAATAGCCCTGCCCCTGTCCTGGACCCCTCCTTTCCACGAAGGCCTTGTTGCTGGGCTCCAGGTTGCCGTAGTGACAGTTGCCAAGTCCCTGAGGCTGATAGCCAGCGATTGGGGCTGGGGTGGTAGGCTCCATCAGAGTGGGAGGCTTCCCATTGTATAAAGAAGGGGATGTTGCCATGGTAACACCCCCCCCCCAATTAGGGTCCATCCCCTCAGAATCCCTCTCTCCAAGCAGCTAAAGTCGGGGGGAGGACGCGCAGGATTGGCAAAGGGATGCCTTAGAGGATCGGATGCTTTGATCCAGAGTTGATTCAAGAAGCAAACTTAGGTATTTGAGTTGCCCCACCCTCTCCAGTCACCAACTGTCCCCTCACAGCCCCTGTGTCCCTCAGGCACTAGGGCATATAGGAGCACCATCTCCCTGACCCCAACCCTTTCTTGATCTGGAGGTTGGAGAGGGGGAATTGTCAGGATGAGGTGCAAGAATCCCACTGGACAGTGGAGAGGGAAGAAAGCCACAATATCCAGGCAGATGGAAAATAGGGAGGGAACTTGGAATCATGGGAGGGATGGAGAGGGTAGAGATCATGACCCCTGCCAGTCTGCTTTAGTGATGCCCCTGATGGCTACTATTGTACAGGAGAATAGAGGCAGAACTTGAGGGGCTAGATGCCTGGTCTCCTTAGAGGAATGGAAGCTGGGAGGAGGGAAGTAGAAAAGCCAGAAGCTGAAGGGCCAGACCCCTGAGCTCTTGATCGTGGTACACAATTGGCTAGCTCCCCAGAGGTCATCCAGTCCCATCCCATGCCTTTAGAAAGCCCTTCATCTTCCAGGGTAAGCACTCTCTCTCTCTCTCTCTCTCTCTCTCTCTCTCTCTCACACACACACACACACACACACACACATACACACACACACACACCCCACTTATTAATAACAGAACCGGCAGGGCTGAACCTCTCCAAAATCTGAGACACCTAGATGGGTCCTGGAGGTCATTTAAGAGGAACACACTTGAATAAACACACCACATTTTGATCTTTGTCTATTTCTCAACTCTATATCCCTTTTCTGGAGTGTACCTTTCACTCTACATTTTCCAGTATGACTCTAAAATCTTTCACACACGTGGCAACGTGTAAGTCCTCTAAGCCATTTTAAGATGTTTCAAATAGTGGCTCCCATAGCAACCTCAGACCTTTTCTCCACCTTTAGATGGAGAAAAGCAGTTTCTACTTTTATATCATATTCTAACGCAACATTGTCATGCTCCTCAGGCACACCACAATTCCCTTTTTTGAAACCCTTCTCCCTTTTTCATTTCCCCCAGACCAAGTTTAGAAGCCACTCTGACCACCAACTCCTCCTCTATCAGCCCCATTCCATTCATCCTCCAGCCTTCTCTTCTGCTTTTGTATTTTTTTATTCTTTTTTTTTTACTTTTGTTGTTCAAATTTCCCTTTTACAGTAAAACTATTGAGGTGACAGCCATACCCTGCTGCCTCCTCCATGGCAATGTCAACTTCCTGTTCCCTGGGGAAGGGACTAAAAAAAAAAAAAAAACCAGGAAGGAACTGGGAGCTGCAGAACCAGAGAGGTGACTTGGTGTCCAATGGCCAGGGCAGCCATCTTGGCTGGTGACTAGGGGAGTCCTCATTATTATCAAGAGTCGGCATCTTGTTAGCCAAGGTCCATCCTGGGAGTGAGCTGAGAAGAAACTGAGGCAGCACCCAATTGAGATAGTTGTACTGGAGAACAGGATGAGGCCTAGGCTGGTAACTATGACAGCATCTGCAGTTGCTAAGGGCTGCTGTGGGCTGAACCAGTTGGGCGGCCACCATTTCTGTTGCTAAGGAAGAAACTGTGTTGGTTGGGGAGGGACTGGGTAGCAAAATGGAGGGTACCATGAGCCAAAGCAGCCATGTTGGCATGGGGCAGGGGAGGGCAGTCCTGTTGGTTGGTAATTTGAAGGAGGAATGAGAACAAGCTGAAACTCGTCTGTGGTAGCAGTAGACAGGCATCATTTTAGTTGCCACGAACAAAGTAGGTGGAGGAAGTTCAGGTGAAGGAGATTCTGGGATGGTGGTACTAACATCACCCTCAGTGCCAACCATCACTAAGATCCCTTTCCCAGTCCACGTCCCCACCTGCCTCCCCCACCCCCTTCTCCTATTAGTCAACTCCAGTTTCCTCCTGAATCAGGAGGCTTTATCCCACCTCCCTCCGAAGAGGAAACACTGTCCACCTCCCACCCACCCAGCTAGTGTCACTTCCAATTCCAGCCACACTTCCCATATTGGAAGTGTCCCTTCTCATCCTGGTTGAAGGCACTTCCTATTTCGAGTGCATTGCTTCCTGCCAATTCAGGGAACATTTCTGTTCAGGCCTTGTCAATGCCCATCAAGGCAGGTCCCTTTCTTGCCTGTTCCAGCAGAGGCCCATTCAATGTAGTGCCAGGCTTTGTTGCTTCCTTTCCAGGACAATTCTTTTTCTCGCTCTGGCAACAGTCATTTCCCACCCAGCCCTGGCCACTTCTTAGGCAAAATGGGTCACTTCCTCCAAAAGCAGTCACCATTTTGCCCAGTTGTCCTAAATGGCTGAAGGGAATAGAGGATTTGAGGGAGTGGGCATTGGGGAAGGAGGGAGAATCTGCTATCCACCCCTAAGCTGGACTGGAGACTGGGTCCTTCTCCTTAAGGCCCCAAATCTTTGGAGAGCTGTAGGGAAGCTCTCAGACTAAGAGGTTAAAGGATGGAGGAGGAACACAACCAAAGACCTTGCCCCATCCCCAGGAGATGGGAGAAGAGAATGAGAAGTTGAAAGGACAGAAAGAATGGGATATGTGAGACAGAAAGTGATAGAAAAGAGGGACAGTAAAGACAGGCACAAAGAGATACAAAGAGGAAGAGAGAGGATAACAGGAAAATTAACTATGCAACACAGAGGAGACAGACATCCAATGCCAGAGACTTGAGATTCTGCCCCCACCAAAAGGGAGAGGCAAGCACCAACAGTAATGATACCAAGGCAGAGAAGGATACTGTCTCTACCTGGATCTCCACTGTAGCCAGGTAGAACGCAGGACCAGAAACTGGAGGGTAGGCAATGGTTTAAGGGGGGGGGGGGGGGGGGGCGGACAGAAGCAGAAATTTAATGGGAGGGTCTTTTAAGGGGTCCTGGAAACTTAGGGAGACAGAAGAAAGAAGGGGCAGCAGATCAGGGTTCAAAGAGAAAGTACTGGAGAAGAAGGAATTCCCTCAAATCATGATTGAGACTGCAGGGCATCCCTAGGATGTCTCTGGGAAACCCAGGTTTTGTAAGTAGTGTGGAGAGCGTCACACCTTGTAGTAGATGTTTGGAGGGCTCTGAGGCGGTCCATCTTGCACGATGTACACAGGGTGTCCATAGTCACCACTCACCTTCTCATAGTGAGGACAGAAGGGGGGATCTGTAGCCCCACTACCCCTTAGAGGGATCCCTAACTCCCCAGGTTCGGCATCTCGGTGACCTACTCCTCCTGCTCCCCCACCCCCAAGTCCCACAGATCCTCCCCTCCCCAGAGAGCCTGGCCCAGGATGTCGGCTCTCTGAAGGCTTGGCCCGTCGTCTTCGCCAACACATGGCACCCCCTGCCCCTGCCACACCCAGGAGAAGCAGGGCCAGTCCCCCAGCTGCCCCAGCCACTGCTGGTATGCTAGGGGGAGGAAGAGGGCCCTCTGTACCCCGGGAAGTTGCATTGCTGGAGGGTTCACCTGAGAGAAAAGAAGAATAGGGAGTGCTGAAGAAGGAACTAAGATACGTGGCCACACAAGCACAGGGATTTCCAAAAGAGACTTCCCTGTCACTCTTCAATCCCCTCTGGGACCAAGGCATCTTAATTTTTCAATCTTATGCTTCCCTCCCCCTTTGCTTCCACTCAGAACCCAGGTGTCCAACCCCTCGCTCTTTGCCACAGGCCCTCCTCCCTTGTCTGACAGTGCTAATTAAAGCCATGACTTGGCTAATTAGGTCTAATTAAGCCTCTTCCTCATTTAGCTTCCTTTCCCCCTCCTATCTTCAGTCCCTCCCCTCCCCTCCTTTAACTGTTTTCTCTATCTTGACAGAGAGAGGGAAAGGGAGAGTAAGAATAGTGTAAACTTTCAGGGAGAAAAAGTAGGTGACTGGACATCTGGAGTCATACCTGACATATTCTCTTTGCTGGAATCCAGGCGGTGTGCAGCGCCTCGGTCCTTCTCTATTGGCATTTGAGAGACAGGTTTTCGAGGAGCTGTCCCTCCCCGTGGACCTGGAGAGGAAGCCAAAGAGGAGTCAGAGCACCCCAACCCTATTCCACTTAGCAACCCTCTGCTGGCTTGCTGATCCTCTTGGAACTCCAAATGTCTTAGCATCTTCCTTACTTCCCCAGCTCACCCCAGCCAGCCTCTACTCACTTTGTCCTACACGGAGAAGGACCCTCATCCCCCTGGTCAGGCAGACCCCACCCTGCAGACTCTCCAGGCCCTCTCGGGTTCCATCTGATGTGGCTATAAGAGAAAACAAGTGAAAAGTTGTTACCCAAGAGCCTGGATCTTGAATCAGTCAATCAAACCTCTCCCATCTTAACCTCTTCCATTTGGCAGCAGGCAGTAAATAAAGATAAATTTATATCCTTTCTCAGGACCTATCTGCATCCAAACACATGCCCTTCCAACCCATTCCCCTCCTATAACTCTCCCTTGCCCACTCTTCCCTCTTCCTCCAGTTAGCTCCTTAGCATTTCCCCAGCCCCAGTACCAATGATGTAGTAGTCATGGTGTGAACGGAATTCATGTCCCCATAGGTTGGGGCTGTACTCCTGGAACTTGATGGTGAATCGAAGATCAACATCAGGCCGGTCACAGGTCAAGAGCAAGTTGGGGGATGGGGGTGCCTCACAGCGCCGACCCTGGGCTCCTCCAACTAGGTACAACTTGTAGAACTCATAGTCTGGGGAAGAGTGTGGGCCAGGGGGCCGGGCCCGAGGGCATAGCAGGTCCAGTCGGTCCCCAATCTGGGGGTAGAGCACATAGCCACCCTCTGCCTGGAACCTGAACAGAAAAAAAGAGGGTCCAAGGGCTGACTCCTCAGATAGCTCCCCCAAGAATCCAGCCATCTAGACTCCCCAGGTGTCAGTTCCTGCTTCCTGACTGCTAAGCCAAAAATTATATACTAATAGATTTAATATATTGGTCCCTAAAGGGAGAAGGGACTAAAAAAAAGAAAGCTGGGGAAAGAGGAATGGAACAGACACTTAGACTCATTACTCCTCAATATGTCCAGATGTATTTTACTCAATACTCTCCCCCCACCAAACTATACACACTCTGCCATCCAAGCTCCATCACCTGGCCTGTTGTCATGGTAACAGGATGCCAGTTGCCAAGGAGCTGGCCTCTCTAGAGTCATGGGGCCCACCCCTCACTGGTGACTTAATCATTGTAGTCCATGGCAACCAAGCGTGAGGTCACAGCATCCACCCCAACCCCTAATGCCATAAGGCAATCACAGTGACATCATTGCCTTCCAAGGTGACCTCACTCATTCTCAAGGTAACTCCAGCAGCATCAGGGCACAGAGAAAGAGAGATGGCGATGGAAGGGGGGGGTTTTCTTCCTATCAATGCCAGCCCAGTGATATCATAGTGGTTGCCATGGCAATGTGATCAGAGGAAATAAAGCACTGAAGATGGGACCATTTTGGGGCTAGAGACCTGGGCCCCTAATGAAAACCAGAGCTGGGGATTTGAATGCCTAAGTTCATTCCCTAGCTTCTGTCCCCTCTCATCCCAGACTTTAATTTCCTTGAGAAAAATAACTCTAAAGCTTTAGCAGCCTAATAATACTGGCCCTAGAATGAGATTCATGACTCACTTCAATCCTGCCCTCATGTACCCAGGCATATGATCCTCCAGTCCCTACTCCCATCACAAACTAAACCATCTATTCCTATCCATATTCTCTCTGCATCAATGACAGTGACAGGATATTAAATACTGATCCTTCCAGGGTCATGGAGATTCTATGTCTTACTCTGCCTCCTCTTGACTGGCCAACTCCCTCTCCAACCTAGGAGTTCACATGTGTAGCAAATCCCAAGGAAGGAGACCCACAGAACTCTCTTACTCTCCTTGTCTGCAAGCCCTACAAGTTGGATCTACGCACTTCCTGCCATACGCTATAGCTGGAGTGTAGGTCAGAAACAGAAGATAACTACTTGCATAGTCCATGAAGTTAACTGTGTTGCTCACTCTCTTCCATACACTGAAAGGAGGAACAGGAGTGGAGCTGGAGGAGTTCCTATCTCCCTGTTGAGAAGGACCCCCTCCTTATTTAGCTCCTCCAGTGATGGATGGAATAGAGCTGAGCAGGCAAGCACTGAAATTATACCCAAAGGAGTCTAACGAGGATGGGGTACTGTAATAAGCCCATAGGGAAGCAGTTCAGCGAAGAAGGCTCTGACTTGGCAGCTGGGGAAAGAGGTGGTTCTCTAAACAATTCTTGGCTAGGGGAGGGGTAGTCCTGAACTGAGGCAAAAGGATGAATAACCTGTCTGTCCTGTTTTGCTTGAGGTCCCCTCTGACCCTTAGACCCTTGTCTTGGTAAAACAAGGAGAGGCAGTAGGATGTCCCAGAGCTAATAATGATCCAAGAGGACAACTAAGTCTACCCAAAGAGGGTGGGAGGAAGACCTTGGGGTGGGGTAAGGCTTGCCATCATGAAGAGATCCATAAGGCAGGGAGGCCAGGGATAGAGGACAGAGCCACATGGAAAAAGGTAATATAGGATAACTGATGGAAGTTGACCCACTAGACTGAGATCCTTCTACACTCTACATTTAATCCAACCATGCTGCCTACAGAGGGAAAGCACCCTGCCTAAGATTCTGAGGCTCCAAATATTACTCCGATTATATCTAACAAATGAATGGACCAGATGCTCTTTAGCCCACCCTAGCCCTCTCAAACAAGTCAGTCACAAATCCAGACATTCCAACTTGTTCCTACCCCTCCCCCCTGAACTTTATATCCCTCTTCTCTATGGGGTCTTCTAAACTTTGGGCATCCTACTCCTCTCCCCTACCTGCACCTCAGATCTCGGATCACCTACACCTACATCTGTGTGGGGCTCAGACATCTGGTTTCTCAGCTTTCAAATTGCATCTTTCTAATTGCATTGGGGACCATAGAACTCTGTCTTCTGTCTAGCCCAAGATCTCTTCACCCAGATGTCCAGCTCTCCCAAAGTCCATAATCTTCTCAATGACTACTCTGCTGTGCGGGTGGTGGCAGTGGCTACCTAGACCCCCAAGTTCCCCCCCACCCAGCTCACCTCTTATTCGCCGAGTTCCAGTAGACAGGTTCCAGGCTAAGCCCCGACACCAGCCCCAAGAGGCCCAGCAGCAGCCCCCCGACTCTCACGCCCCCCAGCCCAGGATGGAGGGCCCCCATTACCCCCCCTGCCAAGGCCTGGGGGGGTTGGAGGCACCAACTTCCCCCAAAGCAACACACAGCCTGGGTCACCCCACAGGGGTCTCACAACCCCCCTCCTTCTAGTCTCTGACCTATACTTCCCGAGCTTCCCGGTTTCCCTTTGATGGCTTGCCCCACCTCCAATTTCCCCCTGACTTGCCTACCCTACTCTTCTCCAACCCTCTTCCTTACAATGCTCAACCCCACAAGATTTCAGGGAGCCCCCCCGCCAATCTGCCTGCAGATTCTACACACACATGCACACACACATAGACAAACACACACATATACACACATAGACATACACACACCCCTGCCCACACTTCAGCACCCCGTGATTTTTGAGGGGGCCTAGTGAGGGGCTGGGGGAGGCTGAGGGAGTGGGGGGCCAGGCAGGGAAGGCATTGGGGTGCCAGAGGGAGGGAGAGCCAAAGCTGGGAATGGAGCTGGAGCCCTAGCCTAGCTGGGGACTGAGGGCAGCAGGCTAGGGGAGGAGACTAGAGTCCAGAGCTCAGGAGGGGGGAGTTAAAGGAGAGGCGGAGAGAGGGAGGGATGAAGGGAAAAACTGGATCTGGAGTTAGAGGAGGCAGGATCCCACACCCCACTCCCCACCACAACACCCACACCTCCCACCAGTGCTGGCTTCAACCCCGCCCAACTCTTTCTTGCTCTCTCTTTGTTTCTCTAAGTCGACTTTCTTTTTCCTTCTCTCTGTCTCTGGTTGTCTCCTCTCACCCTCAGTCACCTGGACCTTACAGCTCCCTCCTGCTGCTTTTAAAAGAACCTGGCTGTTAGCTAGAGCCCAGCCCTCCCTACCCTCGAGAACTAAGCCTCCTTCACTATTGCAGCATCCTCCCCACTTCCCCCAAACCCAACAATCACAGCAGCTTCGTTAGTGTGTAGTCAGTCCAGTTTCTTGTTTTTGTTTTTATCATCTAGTGAGTGAAATGTGGGAGAAGAGAGAGAATCTGAAACCCAGAAAGAACCTTTCCCCAGCGGGGGAGAGAAATGTAAAGGCAGAGAAAGTGGCAAAAGGAAATTAATTCGGGATACAGAAAACTATGGCAGTTCACTGCCTTCCAGTTCAGAGGCTTCCAAAGGAGGAAAACCCACTGTAGTGGGGGAAAATGAGGGGTGGACCACAAGATCTGGATTCTAATCCTACTGTAGAACACTTCACTCTGCTGGGTGCAGCAGCCTTTACAACAGTCATTTCCCAGCTATGGGGTCTTAGTCAAGTGATTTGACTTGAGTTTCTTTCCCTCATCTGTAAAATAGGATTATATTAGCCCTACCCACCTCCCAGAGTTAAGGAGCAAATGACATTCATAAAATCACAATAGAAGTTTTAGTTATCATTTTCCGTGCAGTTGGAGGGTAAAGACTGAGACAGCTGAGGAGGGAAGATGGAGGGAAAAACTTTCCTTTATATGTATAAAAACAGAGGAAGCCCAAGACATTTCCTCTAACAGCTTTGTACATATAAGGGCTTTGTACTTATTGGGGAGGGAGAGAGGAGCGAGGGGACCCAAATGATTTCAAGAGCCCAGCCAGCTAAAGTGAAACCTGAAAGTAGGCTGGAAATGAGTTCAGAAGATAAACAGATCCAAGAGGAAGGTGGGGGGCAGCCAGGCCAGGGGTCCTCCCCCTGCCCCCATTTTAGCCCGAATGGATACAGTTCTCCCTTGCCTTTCTCTCAAGTTTAGGTAAATATCTCCCATTAGACTAGGAAATCCTACTGGGAAAGAAATATGCCTTCTCTGCCCCTCTCCATATGCAATGAATATAGCATAGGGTCTGAAACGCTTGAGTCCTCAATTTAGGAGTTTATGGAGAAGGGAAACAAGTTGGAGGGGTAGAGGAGAAGACTCCAGCATAGAGAAGTAGATGGAAACCTCTCCAATTCTCCTCCTTCTGTGTGGAAGAATGTGAATCCCAGGACTTACTGTTTGGACTGGAAAACAAGGAGTTAGAACCCAATTACTGGATTAATGAATTAGGCACTTTGTACAAGCCTGTAGATTGTGTGAATATTAATCCTACTTCCATTATTTGTCTATCACCTTTACTTTTCCACACCCTCTCTTTTCTTAGCTGTCAGGCTCTGGTAGATAAGGACCCCAAAAGGGGGGAGGAGAAACAACTTGTTCTCCCTCCCACCACCCCAATAAAGGCTGGGAGTGAAGCCCAACTTAGTGCTTGAAAGAATGATTAATGGTCTTCAGTGTAGATGAGCTGATGTTTGTCTCATCAATAATCTCACACCCCAAAACACACACAGGACTCCCTCCCCCCACATTAAGACAATCACAGAGACCTGCCACATCAATTCAGTCACATTCGAACAGACCCCTGTGGGGCTACATAGCAGAGCTCCACATCTCACACACAATGCTAGGGAGCAAAATCTGAAGACACACCCCCTTCAGTTTACCAGGTTGCCTGGCAACTATGGGAACAATGACTGGAAACCCCACCCACACTTAACAGTGACCTCACACTGAGCTCTGCTGTGGATTGGCTCCCATCCCTCATCCCTCCCACATCCAGGCACAAAGTGACAGATCACACTAGACTCAGGAGGAAAACTAGGCACCTCCTCCCAAAAAGAACACAGTACTCAGTCCACTATCTCAAAAAACCTTTTATACAACCCCACATTCTCCCTCCCCAGGACCATCTTCCTTCCCCATTTCTTTGCAGTCAGGGGTTTCTAAATCTGCGGCACCCCCACACCACCACAGCTGGAGGCGAAAGTCGGGATGGGCATGGCTCAGCGAGAGCAGGGGAACCCCGATGGCCTGCCCCTCTTCATCCTCACTGTTTGTAGGCTCAGGGAAAACACGCTGGCCAGAGGATGTGGCCAGCAGAGGCATGCTTGGGTGTAGACTGTTAGGGAAGGAGGGAAAGAGGGAGGAGAGAAAGGGATGTTAGAGACCCAGCCTGGCATTCTTCCAGTACCACTCTAGCTGCTTCTTTCCCATAGTATGTACCTCCAGCTCATCTTTTCCCCCAAACCTTCCTCCCTTCCTAATTTCCATCCAGTCCTAAAGCACATAAGTAACCGATATAAACATATTGCCCCTTCCCATTGCCTATCACCTTTAGGATCATTCAAAGCCAGAGGCTCCTGGCTCCCTCCTACCTTTCCAGTCTTTTTACACCTCACTCCCCCAATGCATACTCTGCAATTCACTTGACACTGGCCTCCTTGCTACAGTCTATCTCCTGACTGGGCATTTTCACGGGCTGTCTCTAATGCCTGGGAATGATCTTTCTCCTCAACTCTGCCTCCTGGCTTTGAGTCCCAGCTAAAAACCCACCTTCCAGTAATGTCTCTTAATCCCACTTAATGCGAGTGTCTTTTCTTGATTATTTCCAATCTATCCTGCATGTAATTTGTTTGTACATAACTGTTTTCATGTTCCAGCTCCCCTCAGACTAAGCTCCTTGAGAGCACTCTTGTACAGTGCCTCACATGCAGTAGGGGCTAAACTGACTGCCTCCCAACTCGCCAAGACATCCATGCCTCCTACCTAATGCCATTGGTGCAGTCATTCTGAGGTAGAAAACTCATCAGTGGCTCCCGCTGGTTTTCCCCGGACCTACTGGTGTCCCACACTGACACAACTCCATCAGTGCTGCCGCTTGCTAGGAACTGTCCTGTCCTGTAAAAAAGGGTAGAATCGCATCAGACTTCACAAGTCCTATTACCCAGCTGGTTGGGTTCCTCCCAGGTGCCACCCACCCAAGGGGATCCATACTGATTTCCCTCGGGGGATGGGGAAAGGGGCTCTTCAGTTGCTTGGAAAAGAAGAGGACTATGGCTACTCACGGGTCCAGGTCAAAGTAGATCCGCTGATTAGTAGAGACTTCTCGGTTCAAGGACAAAAGTAAATGGCCTGGCTGCCGGAGATCCCAACACAGGAGTTCGGCATCCTGAGGGGGAAGCTAAGCCATTCAGTGAATTCAAACCTCCAAACCTACTCCCCTCACAGCCCAGGTCTCCAGCCCCATCAATCCCTTCGCAATGAATATCACTTTTCCTCCCAGTAAAACGATACCTGACTCAAGGCTGTGCAACTGCCCACCCACCCTATCCCCACGCATCAAACTCCCACCTTTCGGGCCCCTGAGAAGAGACGGTTGCCATCAGGATGGAAGCAAAGGTGGGTGATGCCTCCATGATGCCCCGCAAACAGAGCAAGAGCAGAGCCATCATCCTGGGAATACAGACCAAGGGAGCAGCCATAGGAGCCACAGGCATAGAGAGGCTGGGTTGGGCTGAATGCGATGCATGAAATAATCCCACTCTGGCCCTGCTTTTTGGCTAGTGTGGGAAAGAGTGAAGGAGGGTAAGATGAAGACAAAGGCACGGCCACCCCTCAAAATCCTCTCCCTTCCAAGGTCACTCAAGAACTGGGCTTCTCCCCACCCCCAGTTCCTCTTCAGGGAACCCAAGTATCTATCAATCACTGTAATTATTAAGCACCAACTATGTTCCAACCATTACGCTAATTAGGCACTGGGGATACAAATTAAAAAGTGAAAGTCCCTGCCCTCAAGGTACTTGTACTCTTAACAAGAGATCCAAGGTGTGTGTATGCGTCTATGTGTGTACATAGATATACATGTATATTATATAGGTGTATATATAAGATACATAAAAAGTAGGCTATAAGGGCAGCCTTAGAGGGAAAGGCACTAGCAGCTGGAGGGGAGAGGGAGGACAGCTTCCTGCAGAAGGTGGGACTAGTGCTGGGTCTTGAAGGAAGCCAGGGACTCCAGAAAGCAGAAGGGAGAAAAGCATTCCAGGCATGGAGGACAACCAGTACCTTTAAAGGCAAAAAGATGGGAGACGAGCATCATGGGTGAGGAACGGCACCTAGGCCAATCTGGCTACACCACAAAGCAAATGCAGAGAAACAGTATGGGACATGACTGGAAAGGGGCCGGGTTGTGAAGGGCTTTAAATGTCA